GCCAGGGAGGCGTGCGCTGCCCCAACCCTGGCAGTGTTCAAGGCCAGGCTGGATGGGGCCTCGAGCATCCTGGTCTAGTGAGGAGGTGTATCTGCCCATGGCAGGGGTTTGGGACTAGATGATCTATAAATTCCATTCCAACCCCTACAATTTTATGATACTATTTCTATGATTGAAAAGGCTTTTTTTTTTTCCTTTGCAATGCAACTGTCACAAAATTACAACCCACTTACACCAAACCCAAAGCAGTTACAATTAATAGAATAAGATGTGTTAATGATGTCCTTAGATTTATTTCCATGAGCAATGGACTAATTAGAATCCATTATTCCAAAAATACTCCTGCTGCATCTTATTTGATGGCAATTAGTTCTTCAGCTTTTTTTAAACAGCATCACAGCACAATTTTCTTTCAATAGCATAATAGAAGTGTTTTTTTCAGATGTTTGCATTTATTTCTTCTCTTTGAATCAATCAGTTTGCATGGAATAACATACAATTTAATAAAACCATCTTTAAATTGTTTCATAATGAATTAGGGAAGCATTTGTTCAACTGGCTTTGCATTCTAATTCAATCTCAATATGAAGTTAGGAAAAATATCAGATAAAATTTCACGAGCTCATTTAAGTTGGACTTTCATTTTCACCAAAGTGATAATCACCTAAAGGAGGTGGAAAATATGGAGGAGGAGTTTCCATGGAGTAATGCTCAACAGACAGGCAGGAGATGCTGGAGTGCCCCATAGGAATGTGACTGATGTCAGGCAAGGACATCTCACTTAACCTGGACATCTCTTTGACATCCCTAGTCATGGTTTGTGCATTGAATACAGTGCTAGTCACCATACAACTGATGCTCAAATGATTTAGTTTAGTTGCACCAAGTCAATGCAGTCACAGTGAACAAACAGGCTGCTTCGAAAGCCACAAATTAATTTAAATGCATTCAGAGTATTACAGTATCAGCTAAAGATTTATCATTTAGACCTTTGAGTCTGAAAACAGACCATTCAACATATTTTTTAAAATGTGTTATTGATTGTATTGGTGTTGCTGTGTACTGATATAAGCACAATAGATTTTGAAAACAGGACAGCTAAAAAGCTCTATACAAATTGTTGGAATCACCAGTCTAACACCTTTCCTGTCAAACAGTCACCTTCTTTACTGCAAGAGGAGAACAAGAGAAAATAAGTAACACAAAACTACCAAAGCAAAAGTATGCACAGTGTGGATGGATATTAATTCCAAAGTGAAGCTGAAGTCACAGAACAGATAGGGACATTCAGAATGGCATGAGTTTGTAGTGAAAACCTGTTCCTGATGAATCCCTTCCAAAGAAGAGCAAATAGTCCCTTCATGCTGATGTAGTACTTATCTTTCAGGTAGTCTTGTTCCATGGTTGCATTCCTTTCAGGGAGGTAAGCAAGCCACACTCATACTGCAAATGGCCAGGGAAACAAAACTAGACAACAAGAGTCTTCAGCTGGTTTTGGAATCAACCCCAAAGATGGATTTCACTTTTTCAAGCTGGTGTTTAGTGCTTCAGAAAAACAAACTAAAGACTTTGTTCTTAGGATTCACAGTATTCATAGCTAAAAAACACATCCAAGAGCTTACATCTGTCTGCTGGAAATGTGTGTGACGCTTGCATAAAATTGGGAGCACCACCAGCTGAAATTGATCCTTATGCAAAGTTTTACAGATGCTTTCCAGCACAAAGTGTTATTTCATTTTTCTACCAGCTCTCAACCTGTAAAACAACCTACAAGGGATTCAAAGATTTGATTGTAACTTTATACATAACACACTAAATCCACAAAACAGAGGGCAAATATTTTTATTAAACATTTGCATCATTGATCTAGATAAGCATTGTTATACATTTGTACTTACACAAATTCAGGTTTTGGCTGTTTTTTTC